GTGTCTAGATGGCCTGCATCCGTTCTTCCTTGATGACACAATTTACAACTAGGATCCTCAGCCAGGCCTATCTTGTAGAGATGACTCTGCAGGCAGTCGTGACCAGTGGCCAGGCGAAAGCAGGCTACTGCATCTCTTCTAGGTAGTTCAGCTGGAATCGGATTTGCTATGAAACACTCATAGCGTTCCTCTTCTACTTTGCCCAAGTGTGCTTTTCTAATTTCTTCCTTCTCTGCCATCTTAACCACTCGCTGTATTGAATCGTAAGGTTTGGATGTATCGGCTGAGGCAAATCTGTTCCTCGCCTGGCAAGACTATACTCATAGCCTCAACGTTTCCCGGAATCCCACAATGACTGGGAATCCACTGTCGGACCCCATTGGTGCCTTGGTGTGTCAGGTTAGAGAGGAGGGATTTGCACTCCAATATAGCACTCGGTAAACATTCATTCGTGCTTGTAACAGCGAGGATGGCTGCTCGGGAGTCGACGAAGAGAACAGCGCTCTGATGCTGCCTTCTAGACAATGTTCTTAACGCTATGAGGATCGCCGCTATGCCCACCGCATCGCTGGTTTGGAATTCCCTTGAGTAAACCCCTGCTCCAGCATTTTTAACGGCTGATTCAGCTGATCCATCGGTATAGATATGGTGCCAATCTTGAGGAGGGTACTTTTGAGCTATAGTTTCTAGTGCTAATGCTTTTAGCTCGTATTCTTCCTTATCCAGATATATCTGCAACCGGGCTAGGACCTTCTCTCATAGAGCTTAGAAAACACTTGTGAGCGATATAGGTTGGTAGTTAGATGGGCAAGAGGAACATTTAACTTTCTTGAGCATTGGGACGACCTCAGCCTCCCTCCAAGCACTAGGATATTGCGGCCTCCTCGCAGCATTGAGAAAATATAGCACAGTGAGATTGGCTTTTGCATCCAGGTAAATAACGAATTTTGGTATTATAGCACACACATGTAAATAAAATATGACTAGATCACTAAAAACATTTTGATATAATATATATATATATATATATATATATATATATATATATATATATATATATATATATATATTAGATTTTAGGAATGTTATAGTCAAACAGCTGATAGTAAAAAAAAAAATAGATGAAAGAGATTTAATTGCCAACCAAATTGAATAACTATGCCTCAAAAATACAAATAATCATAAGGAAAATAAATAACTACAAAAGAAAAAATAACAAGCAAGAAAAGTTCCTTATCAAAAAAGCAGCTGATCACATAATCTTCTTTTGATGTGCGTTTTCATAAATCGTTTTCATGTTTTATATATTTTTTTTTTATTATTTGTGGGATTTTCTTTTTTATTCCTAACCATTTTGAATATAACTTCCCTCTATTGTTATCCCACCTTCCTTCCACTACGAGATTGGACGTCATGTAGCGATTTGATCTTGGTTTGTTTTATTTTATGTTCTGATGATGGCTTGAATAGACGTAACGTTGAAGGTTTATTTTATTATTTATCTACATTTTAGAGTCACAAAGCTGTATAGTTGGATATCGCCTAGTTATAACCTATCATCGATTTCCGTCTCCTGGTGAATTTTTACTCTTTTACATTAAATTTATAAGGTAATGTATTCGCTAGACTTAAAATTATACATCAATCATGAGAAAATATGGAAGGTATATGACTAACTAAATCAATACTATCTTGTTCTTTAAGAGTCTAATAAATCTCAGCTGTTTAGTGACCCAGATGTATTATAGGTCCGAGTAGTGTAGTGTAGCGTTTGTATATTGTGTGCTTGCTGCGTTATAAGTTGTCTGCGAACTGTTTCCGTATGCATTCTATGCACACCTGGTCGGCATAACTATTAATTAAAAAAAAACTACGGTGTGTGTTTAAGACCACACGATAGGAGTCAAATCATTAACCAGGCGGAATTAATAATATAATATGTAATTTGTTTTTAATAAAACAGGGATCAGTAATTTGTCGAGACACTATCGAGTGCAACAGGAAATCGAATTGAAACAATTAATTTCTTATTTGTATGGCTAATTGAAATATATTTATCCTTTTTCGACTGTCTAGCGGAAAGTTTGCGATCGTGAAAATTTTTGAACCTGAATTTAAAAGGGAAATACACGTCCCTGAGTCGAAATAATCGAGTCCCAAATGGTTTGTGTGTCTGCGAACAGTCAAGCTCAAAACGAAAAGTAGTACGATACTGAAATTACGTATTTAACCTTTGCATATGCCCCATGCCTGCGATGTTACAGCAACTTTTTCATCATAATCAGCTAACCGAAAATGCCACTTAATATCATAGATTCTAAACATTTTACAATTTTTTTTTTTTCGAAAACTGCTTTAACCTCCTAGGTCAGCGTATATTAAGTGTTTTTTTTTTTCAAATAGTCAAATTTCGATATAGATGTTATGGTACATCAACATAAAACTATAGTACAAATATATTCCGATCTGTCCTCTTGGGGACTAGATAAATCGCAACCCTTTCTACATGTTGTTAGGCTTCGATTACAACTTGTTTAGGCTTTAATGGTACCAGGCTGTCATGGGATTTTCTTATTAGAATCCTTTCAAATTTGAGATAAATAAGGTGTGTATGTTAGCCGCTATCAGTACATCGGGGCGAGCGGTCGGCGCAGCGTGGGGCAGGCGGATCCGGTCCGGTCGGGGAAAATGCAAATCAGAAATAAATGTTAATAAGTGGACATCTGAGTAGGCCGTTCAACTCTCCTCCACCCCTCTCTCCAAAACGAGTCCTCTCAGTTTTTATTCCAGGATGTTTCTTCTTCGTGGACACTCTCATGGTTCCCTCTCTCATTTTTCCAAGGCAAGAATAGCTACGAGAGAGCTTAAAACGGAAACCTTTCAAATCATAGAACAAAACAAAGTTTTAAATCGATATAACTTTTATTTATTAGACTTGCATCTTGAACTTTCTTCATTAATTATTTTCTCTTCTCTTCTTGCCCATTGGTTAAATTTAATAAACAACTACTCTTAATTTATTTATTTGTACATTTTGGGGATTTGTAAATTTCGTCTTCAATCTTAGTATAGTATTATATCTATATTATTATATGCTGGGGAGTATATATGGGCGGGAGAATCATCTGCTGAAGAGGGGACAAGAAGTATTTCTGGAACGTACAAATAAAGATAATAGGGCCATGCATTCACCTTGTAGTAAATGCCGAATTGGGCGGGGTGGCCGAATGGGCTAAAGCGTGTGCACAGCACCGCCAGTTGCCTTGCAACCGGATAACAGAGAATTGAGATGATTTAAAAAGTACGAGTTCGCGTCCCGGTGCCGGAGGGAATTTTAAATTCCCCGCCCTCACCCTCCCCCCCCCATGGCCTACAAGCCGAGGTAGGGAAGAACAAAAAAAATAAAAAAAAAGCCGAATTGTTAAAGACTGGTGTGTGCTGACCTGCTGCTGTATGTATGTTAGTTGTATTAAGGTTATGGGTTATGGGTGGTCGGCCCCTCCCCTCACCAGTATATAATATAATAAAGGGCTGATAACTGATAACTTGATATCTCAGAGGGGCTTGCTTATCAATTTTAACGTTTTCATAATTGAATGTCATATTTAATAAAAGTATAATTAAATTAATGACATGGAGAATTTTAAAAGGCAATCGAGTGAGGTCATATCTTATTTTTCTCGAATATCGCCTACATTTGACAAGGTTAGCTCATCTCCAAATTTCCTCATTATGTAATGTAGATGAATTACGATTACAACACAACACTGTTATTTGTTTTTTTCTATTGGTGAATTGTTAGGTTTCATGTAACTATGAAAGTCAGATATGTTTGTTTTTCTCTCTTCATACTTCTATCCACACCTGTCGTAATCTTGACAATAAGCAGATGTGATCTCATTGTAAAAAAAAATTTGTATTTTAAGCATGAGGAACATTAGTACCCACCAGTACCTCTTCCTGGTCTTGGTCTACTTCATAATTTAGGAAAGGAGATCTCTCATCCAGCTCCTCTTTAGTCGTCTCCTAATAGACATGTCTGCTGTGGCCATGTCGTTGATAATTCCGTTCAGATGACCATGTAGTTCAAGATGAAATAGGGAGTAGGGAGTACGTGTGTGTTGGTCGATAGTCGGTATGTAAAGGTTTGGTGTTTACGAACCAGGGAGCTGCTGTTATTAGCCTTAAAAATTTTGGATTGAAATAATTGTAGTTTTTGTAAGTGCGTACGTCCATAAAAAAAATTAGTTTCCCTTCGCTTAGTCGGGTAATTATAGTTATAATCATCATTTCTTGACCATCGATATATAGCTAGCTCTCTTCTCTAATATCGTGGACTGTCCTTGAGACAGATTGTAATATATTTCAATAAATAAGCTTAAAAACAAGAAACAAAAAAAATATCGTGGTGTTTTTTCTTTTCCTTTTTAGAAAGCTACCAGCAAATAAGCAACTGCCGCGACTGTTTGTGATGACATGATACCGAACTCAAGTTGCCTTAATTTAATGGCTTTAGAGGCATGCTACACTCGTGTACGGCAACGCGCATGCTACGTGAGGCAACTTATTCCGCATGCTACATTAATTGAATTTTGTGCCGCACAGTAGGTCGCCTACAATAGGCAACACAAGGAAGCCAGTATCAAGCAACATGTCGTTCGGTGTTGCCTCAGTGGAATCCGGCTTTAGACCCCCTGGAAGTCCCTTAGTAAATTTAATCGCTGTCAGCTTATAATTGCAATCATTCCAAACCACAGAGCCTTATGTCTCCAAAATGAAGGCAAAAAAAAAAAAAAAAACCTTCAACGTTTCGCCAATTCAGGCATCGTCAGGACAGAAAAGAACAGCTAATCGAACATCCATGACACCCAATCGCATACTGCTTTCTCAAAATAAAATAAATACTGATTTTAATTAATGTTTTCTCAAAAGCATTTTATTTATACATTTTAAAAAATATTTCTTATTAGTTTGGTTATTTATTTTAATTTTTGTTACAGGTAAGCTTTTATGGAAGCACCGCCGAATATCCTGATGAACGTATGTTGTATTTTATATCAATATTTTAAATTATTATTCTTTTAATATCAGATTAAGAGAGTTCACCTGTTATTATAGCTAGGTCGATATCTTTTAATAAATTTAGTCTCCGGGTTATTGTAATTATTAGTAATAACGATCAGTAATAACTGTTAACATTGCAGTTTAACTGTAATATACGTTTCATTTTAGTTAAAATGTAATTTATTTTGATATTAGTCATTTAGATATCTTTATTTACGATAGAGTAATATACTTTAACCATAGTACCCAGGTCCTTAAAAAATAAAAGTACGTGTAAAAGAAATCTCCTATAAATATAGTGGTCACTCCAAGAAATAGGTAATTTACTTTCGCTTGCTATATATAATATACATTTAAGAGGAACTATTGCGATCGTGAAACATTTCTTATATGAATTTTACAACGGTAAAACATGTTTTATCTGCGTCTATATGTGTATCTGAATGAAAAGCCGTAAAAAATTAATTTCACGTATTTCAGATTAAAGCCTGGAATAAAATGGAATCATTTCTCTATTTCTCTAAACCGCAAGTTTGATTTGGCTTCAATTTGGAAGAATTCAGGGATTGTCAACTTAAAATGAAATAGCCATCAATTTTATCAAATTCTATCTACGACTAAAAAAAAAAAAAAATATAAAAAAAAAAACTTCCGCTTTCATATCAGGAAATGTGTTATTGGATATTCCAATAGTTTGAAAACGGCGCATTCGATTTGACCCAAACTTGGAGTACAAAATAGAAATTTCATTGAATTCCATTTAGTAATTAAAATTAATATAAACAATTGTTAACAATATAATGGCTGTGAAATATTGAAGGCACTAGCCATATGGAGTTTAGGAGGGTGGAGGGTTATTACAATATTGTTATGGGAGTTATAAAATTTTAGGTTTTATTAAAAAAATGAATTGATACTGTATAATTGTTTGGTCGATTCCAAACGGTACTGGCATGACACTTACGCCGTTACTTAGATTTCGTGTAATTTTCAGAAATTTTTACTGAGTTTAAAAAAAAAAAAAAGTCTTATTTGTGATTGTGTTTATTTCCATTGAAGTTCAAGCAGTTCGTGTTGGCCTCGATTTCCTCCTTAAATATCGAAATTTTGTGAACTCCACCCATATTTTTATATTTTCTAGGTTAATGTGTTTTTTTCTGACTGAAGAAAAGTATTGATCTCGTTAACTGCGAACAAACAACAAGTTTTTTACGTGTGAAAACATGGCTATGAAGTATATATAACTACTGCTATGTTAGTGCAAAAGGTGGTATGTAAACATTTTCAACTTTTATTCTATTTGTGCTAAAGGTGACATTTTGTAGCCTGCAACTGATATAATTAGTCTGCTACTATGAAAAATAGCAGACGACAATAAAATATGAAATTATACTAATAAAATGAGAGTTTATAAGAAATAAAGTAAGAAAGAAATAACATAAGAAATGAGTTGTTATGCTCTCTTCTTAAACAATCAATTTTTGCATACAAACTTTTCCAATAACAGTAGTGAAATGCATGTTCAGCATGCGTTGGTTTTTTTTGTTTTTTAATTAAGAATAATTAAATATAAAATCTACAAATACGTCCCTCTTTCGCATTTTAATATTAGCTGATAAACGAAATTCGTGGATATCAAACACGCGAATGTCGAAGGGTAACTGTATTTCCGAATCGGATCTTCCAGAGATTTTATTCTCATACGAAAAATTGTATACCTTGTCTTTGTAGATGTATTTCAGCCAATGAAAACGGTGAGGAAGCTATACTGACTTTATTTGGCAGACTTTTTTTTAGAGTAGTGGATGGAAATGTATAGAATTGATATTCACTTAATTATCTGTTAACCAATCCCGAACTTTCTTCCAAATTGCAGCTCCAGAGCACCCTGCCTTGTCAATTATTCTCTGACCAATATACAATGCTCCTTATTTACACGGGCCACTTAATTTAACGGGCTAATCTTATTTAGCTATATCATGATGGAAATGGACCACGACTCCGAAACGTCGACAGAAGAAATAATAATAAAAAATATCAGCGGAAGAAAAACGTTCTTTTAAAAACACATTTTAATTATGGTAGAAAGTGAAAGTTGTACGCATGCCGCACCACACTCTTTGTTTTAGTTTAATATTGTGTAAAATGTTATGAAGATGTGTAGCAGAGCCCAGTGCCACGGAGTATCGTGCCGCATGAGCTCTTAACTATTCTGCAGCAGATTACAAGAGGAGCCGGGGTCCAAGGAGGGAGGGCAGGGTATTGTTAGCCGGGAGCCGGGCAGAGGAAAGAAGAATTGGTCTGGTGTGCGGCTGCTTCTTGAAAAAAAGGGAAGCAACCCGCATTTCTGGGGGAGGAGGGGAGAGGACGCCTGCATTCCTTACCTCTATCTCTCTCTTCTCCTCTCCTCTGTCTCATATAGCCAGTGCCATCTGGATCTGTGAGGGCTATCTAGGGCTGTGCATCTGGAGGATAAGCACCGGCTTGGCGCTTCGATGTTAGTTATCCGGACGAAATAATAAGAACAAGCATAAGAAGGATCGACATGGATTAGAGGATCGATCAGGAAGATCTTAAAACTTACCCAAGATTGAGGAAATGGAAACTTAGCAGAAGATATTCAAACAAATCTAGAATGTATGAAAAAGGGATTATGAAAAAAAAGAAAAAAAAGTATGGGATGTGGGGAGGGGAGGGTTGAACTACACGAAAGAAGTGAAAACATCAACAACGCGATTTTAATAATATGAAATAAATTGTTCTTCATTTCACATTCACTAAGTTTTTTACACATTTACACTTGCAATATAAGATAAGTATAGTTCTGTATAACCTATTTTTTGTTCTTTATTATAAAAATAATAACATTTACATTGAATATTTAGCACTATTTAGCCTATTTATGACCGCAACCCCGGACCATCTCCTTCCTTAATAACATTTACAATTTATAGCTCATTACAAACAGGATGAAATGCTCAACATTTTTCTCGCTTACAAAATGCAGGTCTGATTTTTAATTTCGGAGATATTAATCCATATCTTCAATAAATATAATTTGGTTTTCGACACTATTTTTTTCTTTTAGCCTCTCGAACACGGCGTCGCGTCAAGATACATTTTTTGAATAATAGCTCAGTAAAGAGAAGATGAAATGCTGAACATTTTCCTCGTTTACAGTATACAGGTCCGATTTTTAGTTTCTGAGATATTTTAATCCACATACAAAAACACTTTAATTAGTCGACTTTCTTTTCTCTTCTCCCCTTCCTTGTTAACTATTAGACTATTCGGGAGAGAGAAGGCGGGGAATTATGTAGAGTGAAAAGCCCCACCGGGCATCGGGATTTCACTTAGCTACCCCACCTCCAATTAGTTGACTCGAGCATTACGCACCTCAATATGGCGGCTCAATCTAATTCACTCTCCACAAAAAAAAGTGTTAAACGCGCTTGAAGAATTTTTCACTTCAAAAATCTGGTGCACGCATCACTCAACTTTCACTTACGCTTCTGCTTTGATTAAAAATTATTTTTTAGCAATGGTGGGCTATTACGAAGTTTTTAAATTGCATTTTTAACAGAACTAAACCTTAAACCTTACAGCTAATCTGTAACGTCTCATTAAGACAACGAAATAACTATCTCTTATTTTCATTGTCTACCTTCGGAAGGTAAAACGTCTTACAGTAATTGTGAGTGGATAATGTTGTGATTTCAAACGAAAAATTAATCATTTTTTTCACTAATTTCATATTCTAAAAGGTTGCCGATTGATTTAAATAAATCCATCTATTGATTGGAATAAACCGACAATAGATACAGAACTATTTAAATATAATATCGGACCTATATTTATTAAACTATAGTAAATATATTTAAGCTTATAAAGATATGTTCTATTCATTCATGAAAATGTTCACGTTCGCGATTCTGTCCCTTACTATATTGCGGTAGTGTTGCGTGAAGAATCGAACTTTTCTTTATTTAGCAGATATTTTCTTGGTAATTAATACACTATAATAAGATTCATATTTACCAGCTGTGTGAATGCATAACATCAATAAAACTGTTTTTAATCATCTTAAAAATATATTTTTTTCTATTGTTAAGTTTGATTTTATAAGATAGAGTGCTGCTATTAGTGCAATAGGTCCTATGTAACAAATTTCTATGTTAATTCTATTTGTGCTAAAGGTAACATTTTCCTATTTTAAATCACATATCGTATATCTGACTTAGGTAATAAGACCAACTTGATATAAATTTAATTGAATGAGCGGCCACATATCAAAGACGGACATTTCTCTTCTTTTTTTTGTAATTTAGAAAAAGCTCAATTTTAAAACTTAGCTTCAATTTAAACCTATTATAATGTGTTTTTTTATTACTCAACTTGAACATTCATAAATAAAATCATCAGTAACAGTTTCAGTTGAACTTATAAAACAAAAATTGACTTCTCCACTTTTTGAAAATGACTGATATTCGTGTGATATGTCACTCGTGAGCCTATGAACCTCGCATAAATTAATGGCCAAATATTATTTTTTTTTTAATTTTAATTTATTTTATTTTTTTATATACATTACATCATTTCATAATGATAAATTACATGTTTGTGGTTGCAGTAACCAGTGGCCAAATACATTAGCTACCTTCCAACATTTAGTGCTTTGTTATGAATACAAATACATAAAAAGTTTAGTAAGGGAAAATTAGTAATTTCAAACAGATTTAAATGTTCAACAAACATAAATGTACCCCACTCTTGATGTATTCAAATGGATGTAATGCGTTTTATCTTTTTAAATTTGCTGAAAACTTCCTTGACCGAAGAGATGCTGATTTATGAAAAGGGTATTTCTTTAATAAGTCCTCATTTACATCATTTAAATATTAAAAGTGTCTTATAGAAGTAAGCTGAATTATAGAGTGTGTGTTTATTTTTCGTCATATTCGGTTGTACTGTATTTG